CTAAATTAGGGACGGCTAGCGCAGACAGCCCTCGTGTAGCTTTGCGCGAAATTCAAAAACAAAAACATTTAAGCTTTAACCGGACCGAGGATTGCAACAAGTCATTCCAGTCACTAAAGTAAGCTTTATAAATGCACCTACATTGATTCATCTGAAGCCACATTGTCAACTTATGCTGTTTAGGAATATCAGAGTTATTGCAATCAGAATTGTGCTGTCACAGATACAGAATATGTACTAAGTAGGTAGCTATTTATGTATGTTCTAGCTAATTATTATCAAAAATTGTTCTTGAACAAAAAAGAAATAGCTCTGCAACTGTAGTATTTAATCACCTTTGACACTGTTTATAAATTTACTAAAGTTTTTTTTTTATTATTATTATTATAAGAGAAGGCTTTGGATCATTGAAACAGCTAAAGAGTTTTAACGAGCCAGAAGGGATTGTTACACATTGGATGGTAACACTGCAAAACAAACCTTTATTGTGCAATATCATCAGGCTGAAAATGCAAATGACATGTTCTACAAAAGTAAACCTTTGCCAATTTCCAGAAAGTTCTGATACAAGACAATACTGCAGCAAACGTTAGTCACACCAGTGATAACCATGCCTAGTGGGAGAGAAACTATAAAAAACTAGTCTCTTAAAGTTGATTAATGAACAACTTCATGAAGAGTAGCTAAAGGACATTGAACCAGTCTGAGCACTAACTGCATTGAAGAAGGCAAAATCGTGACCCACACAATGTTTTGAGCATAGCATTATATGAGCTATTAAAATGGTATGAAAGAGTGCACTTTACCACTGCTAGAGTGATTGGAGGAGTAGAGCACAAGCTGTGAAGGAGCTAGTAGTCCTAAAGGTTTTCCGCCAGGATATTCAAAATACATTACATAATACGAGAATGATATGACATGAGGAAATGTTGTATTCCATAGACAACCTGTAGAAGTAATTAAACTGGTCATATTTCCTTAAAATATTAAATGGCACTATAGATACTGCAGTCAGAGAAAGAACTGGTCGCATCAAGATAACCATGGCTATAGCTAGATCCTTCTTGGAAACATGGAAAGGAACTGATGCATAATGGTCATAATCAATTATTCCAGTGCTCACACTTCAGCATTGTTTGTGGCTGACCAGTTAGCAATGTAGTGGTTATTACTCTTCACAGTTCCAGAAAAAATGCACACATATCAATGATTGAAATTAAATAACTCATCTTGTTAAGCTGTTTTAAAGGAAATCATAGTGAAGATGCGTATTACACGATATCATTATTAATCTGGTGATATGGCCGACTGAAGAGCAGAAATTATCAAGATGTTCCATGCAAAGTGTGTAAGTTCTGTTTGGCTGACTGAGATGATCACTTGACTTGAGTCATTTGCGAAGTACAGAGCGACAGAGGAACAATATACTGGTTTTTTTTACGAACATGCTAACATTTGGCTACAAAGTTATAGTCTCTGAGGAATTAATCATTGGTTTACCTCTTACTGCTGATATCCAGAATATTAAGATTAATGTTGCTGAAACACGTGAGTTTGCATGGAACCAAGTGAGAAAGTGACCATAAAACTTGTTTGTTGTTTCGGACTCTCGTACTCACAGTCAGACATGCTAACCATTAGGCCATGCCGAACCCTTTTTTCAACTGACATAAAATAAAACCAAAATATCTTCTATTTCTGGGGGGAAATGGCTTAAAGTAAAGCCTTCTGACAGATTAGGTATATAAGAAATTCCGTTCCTATTTCATCATGCATTTCATATCTAGTGAAGGATTGAAGACGGTAAGAGAATGCCCTGGGATCTGTTCAACAGTTCCAAATGAATTGGTGTCAGTATAAATAAAAGTCTTGATTTGGCAGTCTAGTTAGGACTGGAGTTTTTAGAAGACAATGATGACATCCGAAACCCCCGCTATATGATGTTGCTAATATAAAAGATGCTGTCTAGACTTGGCGTTGTCAGGAGGCATCACTATGTTGGATCTTCCTTCTTTGGATACACCTAATTGTCATACACAATTAACGTCTCTCATGCTATATTACTACTCCAGTAGAAAAACCGTTCTTTTCATAAGCAACGTAAATATTCGTTGCCACATAAGATACCGTGGAATAATAATATAGCTGAATGGTACACAATATGTTGTAGAACATAATTCGTGCAAAAAGAGCCGACAAAAAAATGACTGTCATAGAATCGGTGTTTCCTGAGTAACGTACCGACACATCACTGATATGGTTGCTGTAAATATCACAGATAAAAACATATATAGTAATAGAAAAGGCACAGACTGCTTAAATAACCTAAATAGTCACTGACTATAGAATACAGAACAGAAGTAATGCAAAATTCATATTATGTAGATTTTCTTTAACATAAATCTTATTGTTTAGTAATTGTAAAGGATATGACAAATTCTCTAAATGGGCAATAAAGCAAACTTTTATAAATACATGTAGTAGATAGTGTAGATATATGTATCTTAAAATTAATTGTATCTTAAAATAAGAACCAAACCATTGCCTTTACAAGAATAATCTGGAGATGCCGAAGAAGCAGTCCGTACATAAGCAGCTGCTGAAGTAAATATTATTACTATTGGGAGAATCACTCTTTGCTCGGTTAACGTCACTGACTATTCATGTGACTGTAGAAACGTAATCGTCATAGCAAGAGAAACAGTTTTAGCTTGAAACTTCGTTGAATGGACGGCAACTGCCTGAAGGCGAAGGGCGGAAGACTTTTGAAATATCGTCCTCTACACTTGTGTTTCTACAACATGTAGTTGTCGTCCATTCAACAAAGTTTCATCATGAATGCTCTGCCTAAACAATCAAAGTTCTAGCTTAACTCAAGTGCATTGAAAATTTGAGTGCATATATACGAATTTACACACTTATGAACTTACCTCCTCCTACACAACAGACTGTAAATTCACAGTTTGTACATAAGATAATGATAAACCTTTTTTGTGTAATCTTATGTTCCAAATGTTATCACAAAGTAGTCGGTTTTTGCAGTGGATTTGTGTATATTGCAGATTTCGTATGTTTAAATATACATTTGAAAGTTTCATTTCTACCTTTCGAAGGTGCTTGGTATTCTTCTATTTTTTTGTAATTCTTCTCATTTTTGATCCTACGTGATTGCTTAATATCACGAATTAAATGTTTCGTTTATACGGATGTGTAAAAGAACCATTTATGTGATGATTTTTGTTATTTTGTCTTTCTTGTTTTAATTTTATACTTTTTGGTCTAAGTGTCTTTTGCAACTGAATATTTGACAGGTAACTCGCGATAGTTAAATAAAGTGATTTGAGTAACCTTAGCGCATCATCATTCCTAAAAACGGCCTTTTAAAGTTTGCTCCAATTTTCTAAACTAATTTAAATGTTATTTTCCGCAAAGAAAATATTGAACGATATAAAAGTAGAATTGTATTGAAGAAAAGACGACGTTCACACAAACTTTTTATCGTATTCTCATGAGTAACTAAAGGAAGTTAGTCAAATATACTTGACCATCTCTGTTATCCTTACAACAAACTACCAGCGACTAATGGATGGTATTAGGCCTTGTTAGATTGCTGTGATAAAGAGATGGCTCCCACTAGAAACAAAATTCCAGCGCTTATACATTTCAGTAATCTGTTTGCCTTCCCTCCCTACTGTCCTGTGACGCTTCTCACGCGCTGGTCTCCCCCTTACCTGTGCTTGTGGGACCGTCCCGGCTGCCACTGTCCTCAGGTCTCGAGCCGCCATGCTTACCTGCCTGTAAAGAGAAGCTTCTTGCTTGGGCTACCTTGATCCGAATACACACACACTCACGCACGCACACACTAACCGACTTTTCAGCGTAGAGCAAGCTGCAGTGCTGACGACACTGCGTGTTCATTGCACCATACCGTAAGCAGGATCGCCGTTTCTAAGTAAGACATACAGGCTTTCTTACTGTAGGCAAGATCGCTGTTTCTTAGCAAGCCAGCGGTTTCATCGTTGCTAAGATTTTATTTCGAGCACCCATCCAATGCTCTGCATCTAAAGACTCTTTGGTAAACAGCACTTCGACTTGTAAGTAAAGCTTTAGGTAGCCAGCTGAACCGACTGATAGAAGAAGGCTAGCAATACAGGACTGCCCTACTTATACCACGCTGGAGACTTGGAGCCTAAACTGGTTTGGGGAAATTAGAAAGTCAGCCAGCCTGAACAGCTAGACACTCGGCCAGCAGTAATACACAATGGAGGTCGAGCGGACAGGTTTTTCGGGTTTTGCGGGTTCGTCCGACGGTGGTGAGGCCGCTAGTAGCAGCGGACCCTCTGCTACCACACCAGCCGCCAGCCCTAACAGTAGGGCCCAGAGTCCCGTCAAGACATCAGTAACAACCGGCACGGCGAGTCCCCCAGTCGACAGCCCCACCAGGTAAGAGTACTGGTAAATCTAGATACAAGGGCAAGGTTCCCCCCCCCCTGCACCCCTAATTCTTCTGCCAGCTGATGTACCCGTTCTGCACGTGGTCTTGTGAAACTGGTCCTCCCGAAACCTGAACGACATCGAGTTTAGAATAAGTAGTTAAGTAATCCGTCCCTAGCCCTACCTACACCTAATATAGAGAATAAGAGGTGAAATATGGTTTAATGCAGAAAAGATTAAAAAAAAAACGTTATATTCCTTTCTCCAAAAAAATGTTCCATACAGTTGACACTGACAATTTGTTTTTCTCAGAAGCAGCTTTATGTCTTCTTTGGATGTTTTTTTATATAAGAAACTGTGTACAAACCTTATATGAAAAGAAACTAATTCTTAATATATTGTTTTGAACAATTTTGATAGCGTTACATAGAGCTAATTTACACGCAGATTCTTCAGTGTTATTTACAAGTTATTTCTTAATCTGGTAAATATTGTGTCTGTCCTGAATAGTATTGTTGATCGTTTTATTTCCAATCATTTGTTCACTATACCTGTCATGTTACCAACAGAGTTGCATTACATTCAAACTGGCTAAAGTGTGGCTAGAATTATTAAAATGTATAACTTGTTTAAATTGTAAAACACTCCTTCAAATGTTTCTGAAATTTCTTAGAAGGTTTAATAGAAATAATTATTCAAAACAGCTATATCAGCTTTTGCACGAGACGTAATTAGATTAGGGAACATTTCTTTTAATCTTAAGAATAAAAATCAAAAATACATTTCTAATAAACCCTACAGTGTGTCCAAAAAATGTATTATAATAATGTACATCTTATACGTTTAAGATAAGAAGGTGTTATTTCTAAGAACTTATGCAATAATATGTCAACCATGATAACTCTACCATATTCAATATCGACGAGGCCTTCCGTCCAATACGAAGGATTATTAGGTCGGCTAATATACAACCGATATAGCAATGGTCGAAGCGCTATTTATACCAGTTTAATGAACAAAAACCATTATGATGTGAAATAGGTTAAGTAAATTAATTTTAGTCATTATCAATCTCGTTTATGTCATTTACAAATCAGAATTACAGTACGGATTAAAACCACAATATTATTATTATTAATAATACAGATCATTTTCTGTTATTATATAGTTTCATTTAACTTGATAATCATTTAGAAGAACTGCCGAACTAACAAGTTAGACTTCTTCTTAAGCAATGCGACGAAATTCTTGTATGAAGCTTAAACGTTATTATTAGAAAATTATTAGTTTAGAGAACACTATAACACCAAAAGAGAACTATATAACACTAACCTAACGTATGTTGACGATTCTCTCATGTTTTCAAGCATACCATCGGTGTAATAAATAAATAAAAATTGTATGAATATTAATAAACTAAGGAAAAGGTTATAAAACTTCTGATAAAACTCACATAAGCTGTAATTTTGTTTTCACATTCCTCTTGATTTATCCATTTCGGATTGAAAATCAGAGGAGTGTAAAAATATCATTACAGATCTAGCTAGTGTCTTCCGCAACTCATTGCCCAAAAGGCTTTTCGTTCAATACCAGATCTCGTCAGTTTGGCTGGACGATGAAAAATAAAAGTTTCTCTGCAATTTTAAAAAACATTTTAGAAAAACTTTTGTCTCTCACCGTCCAGCCTAACTGACGAGGTCTGGCATTGAACGAAAAGCCTTTTGGGCAGAAATAGATAAAGTAAGTACAATGTGAAAAGAAAATCTGCAGTTGACGTGATTTTTGACACAAATTTTAGGCCTATTGATAACCCTTAAGCAAAATATTGTTTCTAGATGTTACAAAATCAAACAGAACAGATATTACTACAACAAACAGATTATTATTTCTGGACATTATGAAGCCAAACAGCATATTATGGTATCGAGTGTGAATGTTGCGAGACGAAAGAGAATGTTATATCTGTTTGATTGTTTTTTGTGACTGTTTCTAGATGTTACAAAATCAAACAGAACAGATATTACTACAACAAACAGATTATTATTTCTGGACATTATGAAGCCAAACAGCATATTATGGTATCGAGTGTGAATGTTGCGAGACGAAAGAAAATGTTATATCTGTTTCATTGTTTTTTGTGACATATCTGAAACTGATTAACTCAATACGAACCTATTTTGTTATTGATGTGAAAATATCGTAAGAAGTTTAGTCGAATAAGATATAAAAATTAAGTTAGCTTCAATGTTTGTTGTTTCAATCGACATTCGACGTTAACTTATATCGATGCTCATGTGGTATTATATTTGTGTTTCTAAGTAAAAAAGTTTACTGGAAACATTTGTAAGTATTATATATAAAGTTTAATGGTATGACGCATGTATATAAAAAGTTTGGAGATAACTTGAATGATAACGAAGAAAATATCATTACATAGTTTAACATAGTAACAGATGTGCCTCCCTGTGGGTCAACGGTAAGCTGACGGTTACAATACTTAAATGCTTAGCTTTATACTAAGAAAACAACAAGAAGTAACGAATTTAGGACGTTTAGACAAGGTTTTTTTTCAGCATCAGGTACTATGTTAAACTTGTAATAAAATTTTCTTAGTTACCCATCCAAGACGTCTCCAAGTTTTCTAGTCTCCTAGTTGGTTCCTCGGCATCATATCTGGATGTATACCTACATATGTATAATAGTCATTGTATATTCGTTGTTATTCAGTTTTCTAAATTGGCTCAACATATATATATATTTATATGTAAGTACCAGACAGACTGAAGATGATTAGTGCAAGTGTTGAAACTTATATCCATATAAATTTGGTGTTTATTTATATGTAAGTACCAGACAGACTGAAGATGATTAGTGCAAGTGTTGAAACTTATATCCATATAAATTTGGTGTTCTTCCTTAATACTGGATTTAAACTTTATTTTATTCTATCAAATTCTTCAGTAATGTTGCACTGGGGGAACTAACACCCAAATAAACAAACTAAAAGCCGAACGTGATCTGTGTATTTCACAGACGATCAGTTGCTTTATAATCTCCCCCCTCCCAAGTAAATAGCTTCATAAGCTGGGAGTAGTGTGCGTCTTTACATTTAAGATTTTCAAATTATACTACTTTCACTTTGCTTTCCCTCGTGCATAAACAGAGCAGGTAGTACAGATAGTTAGTTAAACACCCAGAAGAAGCTAAATGTCACTCCCTGTGGGGACTTTCCCACAACCTACACCTACACTCTAGCCAACGAATAAGTCACCCGTTTAATTGGCGCCTACAGGAATGACAATAGATTTTGTGAAGGTTTAGTTAACATTCGTGTCTGGGTTATAAATTCGCAGGAATATTTTCTTTACCACTGAAAAGTTATTTAATATTAAAATACGATAATATCGAAGTTTCTTTATGCAATTAGTCTATGTTAATTAGGTAAGTACTTCTAAAAACTCTCTGACTGAAAATAGTTATTTGAGAAGTTTTTTATGTAAATTATCACATTTGTGAGGAGCCTATCCTGGAGAAATCCGAAAAAAAAAATCTTTTGTGATATTCCAACTTTCCGTGGTCTTGTTTTCGTTAGATGTTGATTTCTTGCCTTAACACAAATTACGTTATACATTTATTTGTGTTAACTCTAGTAATGATATACGTATCTGCTCTATAGTGTTTTTTTTTATTATTATTATTGAAAGACAGGCAGCTCTTACAATTACAGCCTTACTGTTCTGGAAAACTACCACCCACTGTATATATCTTAACCCCCCCCTTCCTATTTGGAGTATTCGGATGTGGGAAGGGTTTCAGCGATTACTATTCCAATACGATATATAGCCACCCTTGATGGGCTTTCAGCTAGGTTCCAGCAGGTCTGTAACGTATGTTGTTGTTTCCATTGTTTCATTTAAAGCTTGACCAGTTGCTATAATCTAATTTCTTCAAGTAACCCTTTCAGGTTTTCCCCCCATGCTGTTCTGTAAGGTAAGGATTTGATCTATGGCCAGATTGTGTTAGGACATCGACGCTTTTGCTTTGAAACTGGGTGAAAAGTTCTCACCACCCCAAAACTTTACAACCATTTGTCAGAATTTCTGTAGTGATGGGTTTTACACCAAGTAATACTATGCTGAACATACGGTGCTTGTGGATGATGGTTACGTCACTAGCCTAAGAGAATAGGATGTAACTATTTGTGATACAGCTTTATTTCGTAACCATAATGTCGCAGGAAAGGTTACAGCAACGATATCTATTAAAATAAATATTATTACAGCGTGAATTATATCTATGTTATTCTTATACGTAGTACTGGCTGGGTCTTCTTGATATAGATAAGAAGGCAAACTTTTCAAGAAATCATGGCTGTTTGGCTAAGAGACAAGACACGTGGAACCCCTTAATAAAATCTCGTGGGACCCCATTGTAAAATATCGTGGGATCCTATAGTAAAAGCTCGTGGGATCTTTAGCAAAATTTCATAACCAACAATACCTGTCGTACTGTTTACACGAACAATGGTCGGGTGTAGATAACAATGCAATCTATACGCTTCATTGCAAATACACATACATTCAGCTTTTTCTTCTTTTATTAACCGGAGTCACGCAAATCCCTGAATGAGCAGGATTTGTTTAACGTCTAGATTCTCAATAATTAACCAAAAATATATTTAGAAATATTATTGTTAACATTACTTTTCAATTGTTTATTGTCCATATCATAACACAACTATACCAGTCACCCATGTTAACTTGGTCTAAGACCATTTTAATGAAGTATATGTATCACCTGTGTTATAAGATTTTGAATTCCTACAGTAATTGGAAATATATAAATACTTTTTTTTCAATTTAAGACCCGTGTGAGTTTATGTATTAGGTATTTATGAAATCAGAATCTGTCCGATGCGAGATGGAATAATTTAAGCTAAAAGTTATTCCAAATAACTTCATGCCTAAACATATGCCTAATAATTAATACACAGCATTCAACCAACTTTT